ATAGATAGATAGATAGATAGATAGATAGATAGATAGATAGATATAGACAGATAGACAGAGAGAGAGAGAAAGAGAGAAAGAAGATAAGATAAAGGTGATATATAGATGTATAAGTATATGTTTATGTATCTATATATGTGTGTGTTTGTGTCTGTATGTATATGTATAAGAAGTCCTCATAATGCTTAGAACAAAAACTGAGGTTTAAAAGAATCCCCATGAACAAAAATATCACACACGCAAAAATGTATTTTTTTTTTCAATTGGGGACGTGTTATAAATCTCGGTGTTTGAATTATGAAGTCAGACTAAGAGCTGGCATCCTTTGCAGCTGGTGATATAGTTCTATGTTCCATCATTAATAATATTAATGCTTCTGCTCAAAATGATCAAATTCTTTGTTTAAGGGAGGTGAATTAGCTCCAAATGGAAGCATTTTCCTGGGGATGGTTCAAATGGCATATGAACGCAGATTATTATTATTTTTTCCCCTTCTTTTTCTATATCGTTTGCACAGAGGACATATTATGTTTGATCTAATTCAGTCGGCCCCAGCCTCGAGTAATTAAGTCAGATGTTTTTAATTAAATCAAAGGAGGTTATGAATTGAATCCCCTTTAATGCAATTAAGCAGAAAAGCATGAGAGGCATACCAAAGAATATTTGGATATTTTTTTTTTGGGGGGGGGGGGGGAATGAAAAAATCTCGTGGCTGTCTTTACACAGCATAATAAGCCATAAAAGCTGGCTTTTAAGAACATGGAGCATTCCAGAAACTGACAGTCCCAGTTGCATAAGGGTGTAATTGACTCAAAAAGCCCCTTTAGATCAGTCGCTTTCGTATTGTGGCCAGTGGTGGGATTCAATTTTTTTTTACTAATTTGTTTTTTACTTTCTGTGGGTGTGGCTTGGTGGGCATAGCAGGGGAAGGATACTGCACAATCCCCATTCCCTCGCCACTCCACTAACCTGCTTTCCAGCTCCATTCTCCTGTGCAGGACAACCAAAGAAGACCCAGCCAATCAGCTGGGACTCGGGAGGCGGAGAATAGATGGGGGCGGGGCCAGTCAGAGGCGGTATTTGCCGGTTCTCTGAACTACTCAAAATTTCCACTACCGGTTCTCCGGAACCTGTCAGAACCGGCTGAATACCACCTCTGATTGTGGCTTAAAGCCAGCTTCTGATTCTAGTTTGTTTGGGGGCAAGTTAACCACAATGGCAGGTGCTGGGTTCACCGTAGCTTCATGCTTTTAATTTCATTTTAAATTGTATTTTATCCAATTCCATTTTAAATAGCCTTTTAACACATTTTAGTAATAATTTGTTTCTGGAACTTTGCACTTTGATATGGCCCAGGGGCTAATCAATCAATAAAGAATTGGAATTTACTTTCTCATCAGTAGAAGCAGCCCTCCACTTACAACAGTTCACTGGGCAACCGTTGGAAGTTACAATGGCACTGAAACCAGTGACCGTTTTTCATACTTATGACCATTGCAGCATCCTCATGGTTACGTGACGCTTGGTAACAGGTTCATATTTGTGATGGTTGCAGTCTCCCAGGGTCCTGTGATCACCTGCACAGGTAGTTCTCGACTTATGGCCACAGTTGAGCCCAAAATCTGACTCCTCCCCCCTTTGGATTTTGCTTGTCAGAGGTCGCAAAAGGGGAGAAATCACAGGACCCCAGGACACACTCTGTCCATCATAAATGAAATGAGGGGTCCTTGGTGCTCTCTGAGCTTGGTGGTTTTCTTGCAGACATTTCATGACCCAAATAGGTAACTTCATCAGTGCTAGAAGGAGTGAGGTTTGTTCTTGGCTCCTTGAACCCTCTGAATGGTTGTAAGTCGAGGACTTCCTGTATTGTAGGGATGTTATTTGGCAATAGCCTCGTGCTTGTGTTGTTTTCTGCTTTTGGCTTATCCAAAAGTAGAGATGATTTCTTTGTTGATTCATATCTTGGATGACCGAACACTCATTTCTCCATCGCTGAATTGTCGGTTGTCTGTCTCTCGCTCTGTGTCTGTTCCAGGTGGCGGAAATGCATGGGGAACTGATCGAGTTCAACGAACGCCTCCATCGTGCCTTGATGGCCAAAGAAGCCCTGGTGACTCAGATGAGACAAGAACTGATCGATCTGAGAGGACCGGTAATCATTTAATTTTTTTTAAAAAAAATAGTCACCATCCCTACCATCCTTGGCAATGTGCAGTGGGGCACGGGAGAGGAGAAAAGGAAAAAAATAGACCCCCACTTGCCACCATCCACTTAATCCCCATTCTAAATTAACAACGGTGATGAAAACAGTTGACATGCAAACCCAGGTCTCACGCTTACAGATGACACAAGTGTCCTTGTGGTCGTGTGATCAGAATTCAGGGGCTTGGCAACTGTATACGCACACAGACACAGACACAGACACACACACACACACACACACACATACTTATATAGCGCTTCCCAGTGCTCTACAGCCCTCTCTAAGCAATTTACAGAGTCAGCCTACTGTCCCCAACTATCTGGGTCCTCCTTTTACCGACTTCAGAAGGATAGAAGGCTGACTCAACCTTGAGCCGGTTAGGATCAAACTGCTGGCAATGGGCAGACTTAGTCTGCAATGCTGCATTCTAACCACTGTGCACCATGGAAGGGAGGAAGGGAGGGAGGGAGGGAGGGAGGGAGGGAGGAAGGAAGGAAGGAAGGAAGGAAGGAAGGAAGGAAGGAAGGAAGGGCAACAGTAATAGCCCTTAGACTTATATACCGCTTCCCAGTGCTTTCCAGCCCTCTCTAAGTGGTTTACAGAATCAGCCTCTTTGCCCCCAACAATCTGGCTCCTCATTTTACCCACCTCGGAAGGATGGAAGGCTGAGTCAACCTTGAGCTGGTTGGGATCGAACTCCTGGCAGTGGGCAGACTTAGTCTGCAATGTTGCATTCTACCCACTGCACACCATGGAAGGGAGAGAGGGCAATAGCAATAGCCCTTAGACTTATATACCGCTTCACAGTGCTTTTACAGCCCTAAGCGGTGTACAGTGTCAGCCTGTAAACCCCAACCATCTGAGTCCTCATTTTACCGACCTTGGAAGGACAGAAGGCTGAGTCAACAACCTCAAGCCTATTTCAGGAAAAGCGAAAGGAAACTCGATTGGAGAAGCCAACGTCTTGCTTCTGAAGTCTTGCGCTCCATGAAACGGGGAGCTATTTGGTTTGCAAATCCTAATGCCTGCTGTAGCCTTATGTTTATCTCGCCCGTAAGATTCTGTTCTGAAATTTATAGCCAGCAGGGCTTCAATTAAACTCTTGTCCACCCCAATGTACCGGCAAGGCATGTAATAAAGAATTTCTGCCACCAAATTATTTTATATGGCGCCATTATTGCGAAGGACACAGTCCCCTTGTGCCTCATTATCGTCCTGCAATTACTTCCCTTTCAAGAGCCCATTTTGCTTTTTCAGAACATCAAGGACTCAACATATCAGCTCAGCGCACATTCACAAGTCTAGAAAACTGCTCGAGGGGTCAAGAGAAATGGAAGCCTTTTCTCCTTTTATTCCTCCCCCTCCAATTATTACATCCAGCAATCAGATCAGAGTGGTTTAATTCTCAATTTGTTCTGTGCCACCACTGGCACTATACAGCCAATCCTTGACTTACATCCATTCGTTCAGTGACCGTTCGAAGTTACAACGGCCCTGAAAAAAAACAAAGATGACTTACGACTGTTTTTCACCCTTATGACCGTTTATAGCATCCCCATGGTCCCGTGATCGAAATTCAGACGCCTTCTCAGAGTTTAAAGATTGATTAGGAGTGAATATTCTGGCGCTATCTGGGTGCAGCCGACTCTGAGACCCATCATTCATCTCACCCTGGATGTATATTCTCCAATGGGACACATCCATAGCCAAGAGTCATCAATCTGCTCTCCAGTAATCATCTTGCGCGCCAGAAGCTTCGTCCGCCTAGAAATTATCTATGAAAGCATTTAAGGAATGCACTGCTTTCCCCCACTCCTTTTCTGCTGGCAACTCTAAAAAAGACCAGAGAAATATTTTTGAGTTGAGACACGTGGCAACCGGGTCATATTAAACAAGCTCTGTGGATGTTGTGGTGCGTATAAAATGAGAGCAGAGTCTCCTTGACCCTGGCTGCGATCCATGAATTTCCAGGGGAAAAACTGGATATATTAATCCCTTGCGGAGTGGAGCCTGGGCAACTGAATGGAGCTAGCAGAGTGTTTGAATGGCTGGACGCCCTTCCTGTCGCCAATGCGGAGTTTCTTTTTTCCCCAGCAGATATATTCTCAGTGGTGCCCAGAGAGAGAAATATCCGCCTCTACCTAGGATTGAACTCACAGCCTCTTGATTGTGAGGCGAGAGGTCCACCTCCAGGCCATCGCACCACTCCAATAAATATAGTCCTAAAGAATGTATAGAAAATAAATGGGAAATGCAAATGGCGAGTATCTTCCGCCAAGTATCTTCCGCCGCTGTTCTCCATCTATTCACTGGGCTAATGCCTGTTTTCTCTATCTGCAGCTCTGATTCCTCCACCACCACCACCGCCCTTTTGCAGCTACAGACATATTCTGTACAGGTAGTCCTCAACTTATAACAAATCGTTTAGTGACCGTCCAAAGTTACAATGGCACTGAAAACAGTGACTTGCGACCATTTTTCACAGTTACAACCTTTATAGCATCCCTGTGATGACCCAGGGTGGGGATACAAAATAAACACAGTCACAAAAAAACAGGTGAAGCCCCTTTTATTCCTTCACTTTGCTTCCAAGCTCCGAATATCCTTGATGGAAGACAAAAAAAACCACAAAAAACTCCCACACAAACAGTTACAGGAAGGAGGAAAAAAACAACACAAACCAGGCAAGATAAGGGCTGGAGGATGTCCACAGATAACAGAACACACACTGGGAAGGACGCCAAACTCAGAAAGGAACCATAAACTGGAGATATTTCCATGCTTTGTTTCCAGCACTCGCCAGTAGGCAGGTCTGTCCTCTTATCCAGTTGTCACAGCTGCAGCCCATGAAGAAGATCAAGCCCTCTCCTCCTGAGTAGACCACGTCTCTCCCTTATCCTCTCCTCCCTGCGTGCCCTAGGATGGAGAGGGGGTGGGCCTGGATCCTCCTCTGACTGCCCAGCCGGCCTCTGCCCTTCCCCAGCCTCCTCCACAACCTCCGGAGCCCCACTTCCACTCCCTGTCGGCTGTTCCTCCTCTCCCTCGGAGTCAGTCTCCAACAGGGGCATGACAATCCCCACGATTACGTGATCCAAACTCAGTTGCTTGGCAGTTGCTTCATTCTTATGACTGTTGCTGTGTCCCAGGGTGATGTCATCCCCTTCTGACAAGCCAACTCAACGGGGAAGCCAGATTCATTGAACAACCATATTCCTAAGTTATCAACTGCATTGAGCCGCTGTGGCAAGAAAGGTTATAAAACGGGGCGAAACTCATGTCGCAAATGTCTTACTCAACAACAGAAATGCTGGGCTCAAATGTGGTCATAAGTCAAGGACTACCTGTACATTTAAAACACCCCCCATGATGATATTTCCCGACAGTTAGAACAATTAATCGGTGGAACGGCTTCCCTCTGGAAGTTGTGGGTGCCCCATCACTGGACGTTTTTAAGAAGAGCCTGAGCGGCCATTTGTCTGGGAGGGATCTCCTGCTAGAGCAGGGGGTTGGACTAGATGACCTCCAAGGTCCCTTCCAACTCTGTTATTCCATTCTGTTAATTTGTCCCGCACCCCGAGCCGAAAAGTGAACGCTGTATTTTTATCCCTTCTGCTCATCAAGCACACTCCACTTTCAAATATATTTGAAAAGATAAGCGCATCCAGTTTTAGAGAGAGACGCTGAATAATAAGCACTATAGATCAGTATAACGTCTTTACAGTTTTCAAAGCATGAAGGGGAATTGGGATAGATTGTGTGGGGACTCCATTTGAATAAGCCACACACACAGCAAAACCAGATTTTAAAAATCTTTCTTGGCTTTCAGGCCATAACACCATAAAGACTAAAAAAACGTTCCCTGGCATTTCTAACCTCTTTAGAGGCCCCCTTTCAAGATATTGCATAAAGGGGAGGAAAAGAGAGTGCTATAAAATATGTCCCTTCGTGAATCATCGCGTTCACATTGGGAGTGTGTGTGTAAATCATTATTATTTTTTAAAGGGATTGTAAAGGGGAAGAAAAGGCTTTGAGTCACTTTGAGAGGCTGCACAAAATATGAATCCCCTTCATGTATAAATTCTAAGCCATAAAGGGCTTTGAGGTTTCTTCTGCTTGTGGCTTGACATTTTGGGTGGATTTTGCGACTTTGCGCAACAGTGGTCCAAAAGATTTCCTGTTGTGGACAGCCAGTGGCCAGCGGAACTGGGGGCAGACTCGGACAGCGAGGAGGTTGGGAAGGAACATGGGCCAGTCCTGGAGTCTGGGGAAGGCTCTGCGTCAGAGGCAGAGATGGGGCCAGGGCCGTCCGATAGTTATCAGCTGCCTTCAGAGTGGGAGATCAGTGGGGCAGAAGAACAGCTGGAGCCTGTTCCCCAAGGTGCACATGCGCAGAGCTGCCAGGAGAAGGGAACAGTTAAGGAACAAGGGCCGACTCGGGAGTAAGGACACAGGTGGAGGGTGAATGGCCCCTCCCAGAGGGAATAAAGAGGAGCAAAAGGGGAGTGGTGTCTGCAGGAGACAATTTGTTCATTTAATTAGGGTGAAGATTTGTTCACAGAGACTCCTTGCCAAGTATTTTCTTGTACAGCGTGGCGTTTGAAGGATTTTGGCCTGGCAGCTCTCCAAGTCTGATAAAGGTCTGTGATTGTAAATCACTCTTGAAAGACTGTTTGCCGGGACTTTGCTGGATGTGAATGAGAGGAATTCACCTTAGTCAAAATAAAAAGGGGTTTTGTAGGGATGAGGGGTCTGCTTCGTGATTTTGGGAAGCCTGGGTCAGAACAATTCCTGCCTTAGTCTGATGCACAAATTGGAACCTTATATTCCAACAGTTGCAAATGCAGCCTGCATTTAAATGTGAGGACAGAACATATTCCTTTGTGAACAATGTGCCAAGCCAGTTTTTGTAGTATCTGAATCATCATTACATTTCAGGGGGTCTAATTTTTATACAGATAGTCCTCGACTTAACACTAGTTTGTTTAGTGACAGTTCAAAGTTACAATGGCACGGGGGGAAAAGTGTGTTATGTCCATTTTTCAGACTTACGACCATTGTAGCCTTCTCGTGGCCCAGCTGATTAGAATTCAAACCCTTGGCAACTGACTCGTATTTATGACCGTTGCAAGGTCCCAGGGTCACGTGAGCTAAATCCACGGAGAAGCCAAATTCACATAACAATCCTCTAACTAACTTAACCCCTGCAACAGAGGTGGTGTTCAACCAGTTCTGACCGGTTCTGGAGAACCGGTAGTGGAAATTTAAGTAGTTTAGAGAACTGGCAAATACCACCTCTGGCTGGTCCCGCCCCCCATCTCTTCTCCACCTCCCGAGTCCCAGCTGGGTCTCCTTTGGTTGCCCTGCACAGGAGAACGGAGCTGGAAAGCAGGTTAGTAGGATGGGGAGGGAAGGGGGATTTTGCAGTATCTTTCCCCTGCCACGCCCACCAAGCCATGCCACGCCCACCAATCCACGCCCACAGAACTGGTAGTAAAGAAATGTGAACCCCACCATTGCCCTGCAGTGATTCACTTAACAACGGTGGCAAGAAAGGTCGTGAAATCGGTTGTGGCTCATTTAGCAACCACCTCGCCTAAGCAGTAGAAATTCAGGTCTTCGTTGCGTAGGCTGAGAGATTACTTGCACGCATTCCTTTTCCTTCCTCAATCAGAAATGTGGAATTCATATCGGATGGGCCTTTTGATATTTTTGTTTCACAAAAGCGGAGGACTTTCCAGACTAACTCTTGTTTTGTTTAACCGTTGGTGACGAGAGGTCACTTCTCCTCAGTCTGTAAAGTGGCCTATTGTTTTTATTGACATTTTAAAAGCTGGCTTATTTATCCCTTAGCGGTTCCAAAGCCAATCTATTTAGTAAGAGCAGTGAGGGTTTTATATATTAAAAAAACAGAATGAAATCTTTTTTTTTTTTTTAAATCAAGCTGAACTGAAACTGAAAAGGGGCTTTCAAAATAACCTTTCTGTGCCGAATTTGTTCTGCTAAGTGTTGGAAATTATACATGCTGTCAGCAAATCCATCTCTCTCTCTCTGCCTCTGTGTGTGTTTGGATGTGTACGTGCAAGAAAAGGGAGAGAGCAAAACAGACAAAATTTTACATACCCCAGCTGTGTGTCCTTCCTTCATCACACCCAGAAATTGGCAAGCAGGCAGGCAGGCAGGTAGGTTTAAGGCCAGGGAGTGGAAAAGAAGATGAAATTCGAGGCTTAATGGACCTCTTTTGTGATGATGAGTGAACCCAGGTGTAAAGCAAATGCATCTCAAATTAAAGTTGGAATTGGTACTATGTGCCTTGTCAAGAAAGTTGGTGCAAGGATTAAATCACCATCCAACATTCCCTAGAGGGCAACAGTCTGCTGATTCGTAAATTAAAAGATAGGATTCCTTCATGCTTGTTATTCCTACCTGCCCCCCCCGTCTACCCCTGGGCCAGAAATGTACCGAATTCGCAGTTCTCTCATGCAAAAAAAAAATTGGAAGCGTTTACATGAATTTGATCTGTGTTTTTCCTGTCCATCGCTCTCTGGATGATATTGGGCAACAAAGATATCAGGTAGTCCTCGACTTAACGACTGTCACAGAGTGGTAAAATAGGTTAGTCATGGGACTGCAGGGGCTGACTGTAGGAACTTCAAATCCAGGTTATACCTAGCCTCAATGGATTGGTCCACTGTGATTTTGAACGGTGGCTAAACTACAAGTCTAGAATAGAGTGGAGTGGAGTGGAGTGGAATGCCAATAAAAATAGAATAGAATAGAATAGAATGGAATGGAATAGAAATAGAATAGAAATAGAAATAGAAATAGAAATAGAAATAGAAATGGAATGGAATAGAAATAGGAATGGAATGGAATGGAATGGAATGGAATGGAATGGAATGGAATATAGAGTGGAGTGGAGTGGAATAGAATAGAATAGAATAGAATAGAACAGAACAGAACAGAACAGAACAGAACAGAACAGAACAGAACAGAACAGAATAGAATAGAATAGAATAGAATAGAATAGAATAGAATAGAATAGAATAGAAATCTTTATTGGCCAAGTGTGATTGGACACCCAAGGAATTTGTCTTGGTGCAAATGCTCTCAGTGTCCATAAAAGAAAAGATACATCTGTCAAGAGTCAAGAATCACAAGGTACAACACTTAATAATAGTCATAGGGTACAATAAGGGTCAATATAAATCATAAGGATACAAGCAACAAAGTTACAGTCATACAGTCACAAGTGGGAGGGGATGGCTGATAAGGAGTGATGAGAAGATTAATAGTAATAGTAAATGCAGACTATTCTATCCTCAATGTTCTGTTCTATTCTATTCTATTCTATTCTATTCTATTCTATTCTATTCTATTCTATTCTATTCTATTCTATTCCTTATTTCATTGACCATCCTAAATTTAAACTCCATTTCTTTAAGTTTTGAATCTTATAACAGCGTTTGTGCTGTTTGCAATAAGATGGTCAGCTATCATGCTTTCATCAGTGGTGGGATTCAAAAAAATTTACTACCAGTTCTGTGGACGTTGCTTGGTGGGCGTGGCTTGATGGGCGTGGCATGGGAAGGATACTGCAAAATCTCCATTCCCTCCCCACTCCACTAACCTGCTTTCCAGCTCCGTTCTCCTGTGCAGGGCAACCAAAGAAGACCCAGCCGATCAGCTGGGACTCAATGGGAGGCAGAGAATAGATGGGGTTGGCGGGGCCAGTCAGAGGTGGGGTTTGCCGGTTCTCTGAATTACTCAAAATTTCCGCTACTGGTTCTCCAGAACTGGTCAGAACCTGCTGAATGCCACCTCTGGCTTTCATGCTTTTGAATGCTTTTGAAGATACTACTTTTTTTTTAAAGAAAGTGTTCGCCAAGAGGTAGAAATAATCTATAAAAATGCAATATTGTCTGAACCATGCTGAGACTTCTATTTAAATATCACCCCCTGAGAATGATAAGGCAGGGGCTGCTGAATTTAGGAATTAATTTTGCTGTGGGTCAGGCTGCCCTTCCTCGCTCTTTAAGACAATAGGTTAAGTGGACCCAGCGTTTAATATTTTTCCTTGCTTCCTGTTATTTTCTAGGTTCCTGGAGATCTCAGTCAAACCTCTGAAGATCAAAGCCTGTCAGATTTTGAAATGTAAGTTGTTCGAAAGGTTGATGTGTTTATCTCATTCCCACAAGGACTTCAAAAGAGTGATTTTGAAGTAAAATGATTCATAATGCAGGGTTCTTTCTGTTGTGGGAATGTATTCCCCACCTTGTAACATAACCACCGCATTCTTGATTTGGTTCCTTATTCCAAGTACTTTGATTATTGGCAGCGTCTATCAATGGAGTTTGTCTTAGGGCCTGTTTGTACTTCCGTGCAAGATTGTGTGTATTGACTTATTTATTTATTTATTTTGTCATCCAGATCAAACCGAGCCCTTATAAACGTCTGGATTCCTTCAGTCTTTCTCCGTGGGAAAGCAGCAAATGCATTTCATGTTTATCAAGTAAGCATTCTGTTCAGTAAGGGTATATTGGGTGACTATCATTATCATTGGACATCTCTGTTGTGGTTCACCAGCAGCCGGTACAGACGGCAGCGGAAACAGACAGTGGGGAAGAATGGGGACCAGTCCGGGAGTCTGGAGGGGACTCGGATGAGGGTCCTGCATCCGATGCAGAGATGGGGCCAGGACCATCTGGGAGTGGGGTGCTGACTCCGGAGCCTCCCGAATCTGGCAGCAGCGAGGCAGAGGAACAAGGGGAGCCTGTTCGCAGTGCGTGTGTGTGTGCAGAGCTGCTAGAAGGCGAGAGCAGCTAAGACAAAAGGGGCGACTCGGGAATAAGGCTTGGAGGTGATTGCCCCTCCCATAAGGTATAAAGGTCAGGCCAAGATGACGAAACCTTTGCAGGAAGCAAAGTAGTTCGAACGGTTCAGAGTCATTCTTGAAACTCTTTGTATTTGGGTTGGGTTTTTTTTTGTACTTTGGTTGGGTTTTTTTCCTAGTTTATTTGATACTTCTGTTTTTGGTAGAACTTCATAGAACAGAAAGGTGGGTGCTTATGAATAGAATGAATAGAAGATAGGATAATATAGGAATAGAATAGAATAGAATAGAATAGAATAGAATAGAATAGAATAGAATAGAATAGAATAGAATAGAATAGAATAGAATAGAATTTTTTATTGGCCAAGTGTGATTGGACACACAAGGAATTTGTCTTGGTGCAAATGTCTCAGTGTCCATAAAAGAAAAGATACATTCGTCAAGAGTCAAGAATCATAAGGTACAACACCGAATGATAGTCATAGGGTACAATAAGGGTCAATATAAATCATAAGGATACAAGCGACAAAGTTACAGTCCTACAGTCACAAGTGGGAGGGGATGGGTGATAAGGAGTGATGAGAAGGTTAACAGTGATAGTAGTGCAGACTTTGTAAATAGTTGGACAATGTTGAGGGAATTATTTGTTTAGCAGAGTGATGGCGTTTGGGAAAAAACTGTCCTTGTGTCTAGTTGGTGTGGTGTGCAGGGCCCTATAGCGTCGTTTTGAGGGTAGGAGTTGAAACAGTTTATGTGATAACTTTGAAAAGGAAAGCCTCTTCCAGCCACCCTCTATTTGTCGTTTATTTTTCCACATTTAAACCAAAATATTTTGCTGGTAGTTAAGCAGGGAAAAAAAACATATGCGCCAGCATATTCCATTGCTTTGCAATTATCTTCTTTTAATGAGGCAAGAACGCATTTAGTATTTGAGACTTGGCAAGCTGTCATCCTTTGGTCACCGATGAGAAGGGAGAGGGGAAATGTTTGCTTCCTTTCCTCGTGCGTGTTGCCACATTGTTTGTCTACGGAAATGACAGTGTGCAAATTGTTTTGCAAGCACTTGGAAATAAGCTGACTTTAAGCCCAGGGAAGACACTTGGCATTTTCAAGCCCTTGCTTTGACCCAGACATCAAAGCCATCCACTGGTCTTCCAGCCAGAAGATTATCGGCTGATACATAAGTCTGCCATTTTGGGGGGGTTGCTTTGAAATTGGATGTATTACTAGAAAGTATTACTAGAAGTCCAGGGTATTAAAATGGAACATGGTTGGGCTCCTTGGCTTTGATTGAGTGTATTGTTTAGGGCCAAGTCATTATAATCCATAAACAATGATTGAAAGGTTGTTTATGTGTTGTGCGACTGCAGCCATTTAATAAATCTTGGCTTGGTTGGTATATAAAATTCAGCAAATATGGATAATCTCTATATGCCATGTGGCCTTCAATCTGGTTTATATGTTGTCTGTGATCATTAAACCAAGAGCTGCTTAATTATGATTTGTGAAGGAAGACAGAATTGATTCAGCTCTCCAAACACTGTCATAACTCAGAGTTTATAAGCTACAGTGGCTAAGCTCTACAGCCCAATAAGCCCAAATCAAAGAAATCATATATTGGCTTGGTGGCATACAAAGCACTAAGGACCAATAAGCTGGCATCTTCTCTGTATCTTTGGATGTTGGATTTTTTTTCCGAGCCAATATTTGCTCGGTTTCTGTTGTTCCTGGTGACTGGCCATTAAGAACATTTCTTGGACTTGTTTTGCGGTGACTCAAACTTTTTTGGAGAGACACTTCAAAGTTTCATTTGCAACTAACCTCTAGGTGGTGATATCTACCAGAAGCCTCCTTAATGTTTTGGCAGCAACCAAATAATTCTTGTGGACATATCTGTGTTTATAGTCTCATTTGCCTCTGAGTCAGGTCTCACCTCCTCCGCAAATCATCCACAGACACTATAGTAAATTTAATAGTCTCCTTCAGTGGGCAGGTGTTGACATATCAAACATTGATAAATTATTGGGAACATAGACACTCTTTGTAATATTGTTTGAGGGAGGATTTTATACAGTAACTGTTACAGTAAAGTTGCATTGGTAAGGTGTACAATTTTTTTACAAGTATATGTGTAGCGCAGATGGGAATAATTCCTAATATCAGTGCTAAATTTCTCTAAATAGCATAGCTGAATGAGTTACTTTGCCTGTAAATTTAGCAGCTGTGGTGTAGCACTGTTAAGTACAAACGACACGAAGCATTTGAACTTTCTGTAAAAGTAGTCCTTGATTTGTGTCCACAATTGGAACCAAAATTTCCATTGTTAAGTGAGTTGTGCTTGATTTTACAGCAGTTGTTAAGTGAATCACATGGTTGTTAAGCAAATCTGGCTTCCTCCATTGACTTGGCTTCTTGGAAGCTGGTTGGGAAGCTCGCAAATGATGATCCCATGAATCCAGGATACTGCCCCCATACATGGTGGTTGCCAAGCATCCTTTGATCATATAATGTGGGGATGCTGCAATGGTCATAAGTGTGAGGATTGGTCAAAAGTCACTTTTTTCAGTGCCGTTATAACTTCAAATGGCAGATAAACCAATGGTCGTAAGTCCAGGACTACCTGATATCTAAGCTGAAGTCACGCTGAAGCTTCAGTACCCTGGACAGCTCCAGGTCTAAAATTGTGGAAGGCTGGAGATGAACTGGCTAATTCAGCCAAACAACCTTGAGTTTAATTCTGGCTTCAGTTATTCTTCTTTTTCATATTTTGAATGGCTCAAGCCTGGCTTGGATTTCAAATGTTTTCTTCCCAGGTATTGAGCACTAGGAAGAAATCTTCCTTGGTTCTTGCAGGTCAGCAAACAGACGATTGTGTTGTAGATTGTGCAGTTTTGACTAGGGTTGTGGCTCCAGCTAGAAACCAGGAGTCTGAATTCTAGACTTGCCTTAGGCATCAAAACTAGTGGACTAATCTGGATCGAGTCACTGTCTCTCAGCCTAACTCACTTCTCAGGATTGTTGTTGTGGGATAAGTAGCAATAGCAATAGCACTTAGATGTAGATACTGCTTCATGGTGTTTTATAGCCCTCTCTAAGCTATTTACAGAGTCAGCCTTATTGCCTCCAACAATCTGGGTCCTCATTTTACCAACCTCGGGAAGCTGGAAGGCTGAGTCCACCTTGAGCCAGTCAGGATCAAACTCCTGGCAGTGGGCAGAGTTAGCCTACAATATAGCATTCTAACCACTGTGCTCACAGTAGGTGAAGGAGGCTGTATTGGATATGTTCTCTGCCTTGAGTAATTTGTAAACATAATAAAGGTGGGAAATAAATAAACACAGATAGTCCTCAATTTACAATAGTTTGTTTAGTGAGGGTTTGAAGTCGCAACAGCATTGAAAAAGGTGACTTATGACTGTTTTTCACACTTATGACCTTTGCAGTATCCCCATGATGATGCAAGTACTGGCATGACTAGTCTAGTGAAGAGAAGGACAGGGGACAAATGATAGCAGTCTTCCAATATTTGAGGGGTTGCCACAGAGAGGAGGAAGGGGTCAAGCTATTTTCCAAAGCACCTGAAGGCCAGACAAGGAATAATGGATGAAAACTGAACAAGGAGAGAGATTCAGTCTGGAAATAAGGAGGAATGAGTGAGAACAATCAACCCATGGAACAGAAGTTGCCTTCAGAAATTGTGGGAGCTTCATCACTGGAGGCTTTCAAGAAGAGATTGGACCGCCAACTGTCAGAAATGGTGTAGGGTCTCCTGCTTGGGCGGGGGGGGGGGTTGGACTAGATGACCTATAAGGTCCCTTCCCACTCTGTTATTCTGTTCTGTTCTAATTCACAGTTCTGCAAAAAGTACCAGAGGCATCTGTGATTCTGGGAAAGTCGAAATGTATCATCCCCTGTTAGTTTCTGGTCTAGGTTAACAGCAAATTAAAAAAAGGGGCGGAAAACAGCACCCTTGTAGCTTTTAAGAACATAATTAACATATAAATTAAATAATAGAGGTGTGAGAATGCAACCTTATCCAATGCCTGGAGAGATGAAAATAGGATCTGTTAACTGTTCACTGATCCACCTCCCCAATTTTGCATTTAAGTACAAATCCCTTTTTTAAAAAAAAGAAGGCTTCAACGGGAATAAGGTTCCTTAGAAAACTCTTTTAAAAAAACACTGCAGATCTACAGAGTTTGAATAAAACTGTTTTGTCAGCAAACAAGACATTACCCTCCTGAGACCTTGTACTATAACTCCCATAATTTCAAGCCAGGGTAGCTATTGAAGAATCAGAAAAAGAGCATGCGGAAATAAAGGGCAGGGTTTTATTTATTTATTTACATCTTGCCTTTATTATTTTAATAAATAATTCACTGTCTCCTGGTGATTGGCCCAAAGCCACCAAGCCAGCTTTCATGCCTAAG